AGAAACCTGACTCAGAGTTAATGTTAATGTTGCTTAGGGTCTGCTTATTGTGTGTAAATGGGCAACTGTTTGTTAAAAAATGCAACACAGCAACTTAAAGAGGGAAAATGGAAAAGAATGCTGCTTTAAAGATGATGATTCATCCATGATTGGGACTCTTTTCAGTGTTGTGTGATTAGGAGTGGCTCGGTTCTTTTATGTTGGAGGGGGTAACTAAAGTACAAATCTATTTCTGAGCATTTTTGTCTGTGGAATCATTCAGTGATCACCAGTGTAGAATAATGCAGTTTGGTAACGAGGTCCCCTGTTAATGTTTGCTGGCTTGTGACTTTCAGACGCTGTAAAAAATAAGGCCCGTCTTGGCTCTCGGCACCTGGGAAGATTCGAGCCAAGTTACACTTCCCACTTACTGAACATGAGTTAATAAGCTTTGCTACTTTGTATTGATGCTGTGTTTCTTCACTTCTTAAAGGAGAAGACCACAAGAATCCTCTTGAGATGTTGTTGTTCCTACACAATCTTTATAATGTTGTAAACTCAACAAGCCTGGCCACCTGTTCTTTGTTTTGCTGTGGGCCTTATTTAGTTTCTGCACTCAGGCCTTTGCCAGTGCACCTGATGTACACTCACCTGCTATCACAAGCGTGCCGTGTAGGTGTGTGTCCTCAAAAACAAAAGGTTTGAAGTGATTAAATTCAGCCACAGAATCCAGGCAGAGTAGTTGTTATGCTAAGGATGCTTCTCTGGACGACATGCATCTTAACCAGATCCATATAATAACAGCAGGCAGCGCTTGTTCATTTTCAGCTGGTGATGACATGTGAGCAGACCTCGCCGTTAGTCTTTGACCTCGTTCACAGCCGGGGCAGTGTTGGGACCGAGGCCGGCCGTGACATGGGTGGTCTCCGGGGCGGTGTGACAGCCAGTTGTATTGTCAGTGGGAGGTCAGGAGACCTCTGGAGAGCATAACCTCTGACCTCTCCATCCTTGTATCTTGTTTGGTGACTCAGAATTCATGTGAAATTCTGAGAACCAAAAAGAGGAAGTTTGAAAATGATTTATTTGGCTTTATGAAATGTATAACATCAACCACGACTGGGATTGGGCATCCTGATTGGAACAAAATGTCTGCTTGGCTCCGAGTATAAAATGTTGGCACCGAAAACTTGGTCAGATTTGTCTTTAGTCTTTGTTAATCACAGTTTTAAATTGCATCTTATTTAAGCAAAGGTTATCGTACAGCTGCTTGTCTTTCTCAGAGAGATGGAAAATTAACTGGCAGCTATTTTGGGCTCTAGAAAATGTTATTTATTTTTGTTGTTGTTGTGATTGCCCACATGAATAACTGGTTAATAATGAAAATAATGTTGTCACAGCTTCACCATTGTTACTGAAGAACTTAAAGTTATACCCAGCCAGCCGTGTTTTATACGTTAGTGCCTGTAAAGTGTTACTGTGTGTTACAATGCTGCACAAAGTAACACGGGACTAATACGGTCTGCTTTCTACAGGGGCCGGTGTTTTTCTGCTTGCATCTGCTGAGAGTGAGCAGATCAGCTTCCTGTTCGACTGCATCGTCAGAGGCGTCTCCCCCACCAGGAGCCCCTTTGGACTGCGGCCAGTTCTGCCAGGTCAGTACCCAGAGGTGCTTAATGCTGGACACCCAGCTGTGTGTAGAAGACCTACACAGACAGTTTAGTTCTAAGGGCGGTTATTTCTACAATACTGATGTGATCACACAAAGTTTGTGATGCTTTCTTGGATGACGCGTAGCTGCACTGTTGTCAAGGAGTATAAGCATAAGTCGATACTTGCCGAGGTAACTGTACCGAATACTGCACAACCCCCCCCCACCGACCAACACCAAAAGGCATTTGTCAGAGCTGCCTTCCTGGAGTCCGACCGTTTTTGGCACAATGAGTCAGAGGATTCCTCCGGATGGTTGTGCTTTGATGTGACTAGGTTATGACTTACAGCCGTTTTTTACGTAATTGGGTAATCCTCTGAAGCAGTTTATAATTTTTGTCCTAACCCCTGACTTAAGTGTACTGCGCTGGGCTTAGGGTCACCTGAAACTCTACTGTACTAACTGTCGCCATAACAGCAAAATCTATTGCAGACTATGTGTAATCAAGGGTGTAGAGCTACTGAGCTGGAGGGTGGGCCGAGTTTTTTAGCTAGTATTACATCAGAGTCATCTGGCAGGATTTCAGTTTGAGATGTCAAGTACTCTGGTTAAATGACTGAGCACAGGGACCTGCGTTAAAACTTAACCTTCAGGAAAACGTATTATATTTAACAGGGTGAACTATGGCACTACTGATTATAACTGATGTTTATCTGTATAATGATGAGCCGGGCCACCCTCAGCTCTGCTGCCTCCCCCCATTATGCCCCCCTGTCTTGCTCAAGGGAGATAATTTCTTAAGCAGAAAAGTCAAACTTTGTCTGTTTCCAGTCTTTTAATAGTGAGGGTTTGCAGCTTTTCATTACTGTCAGTGATAGAGAAGTGAATGTCTTTTGGATTTGGACTCTTGGTTGCATAAAAACAACCTGAATAACTAGCAGCATAACTAAGGGAAGGCTCAGACACCTGATCCAGGCCTGAGGTCTTTAAGATACGATAGAGCCTCGTCATTAAGGGCTTTGTATGTTAGGAGAAGGATTTTAAAATCTACTTAACCAGCAGACACAGAGTTACATTAGCATTCATTCAGTGTTTTGTTTTGGCAAACACCGGCTCCCTGTAAAATCCAGAAAATACTAAATACTATTTACTAATGTATTATCTGTAATTTTCCAAGGTAATACTATGTCAGTGTTGTGGTTTCTGCAGCTCTTAACTGGCCACAAACATTGGTTAATGCAGATTTAAAATAGACTAAAAATGGGGAGAAATGCAGGCACAGTGTCCATTTGAAATGTTTTTCTGGTGATTCACCGTGTTAAAGGCCCATGTATGTATTTGGTTGTCTTTAGACTCTTATTACCACGTACTGTCCAAAAATAGAAATAGTTCAGATGTTCTCAGAAACTGAATTATGCAAGAACCCCTTTCTTTGAGCGTGTATTTATCTACTGTATATGATCTCTCCTATTTCTGTGCTGTTGCTAACACGTTGGATGGTGCTCTCCTGCTGTCCACTTTAACACCTTTGATTTTCTGCACTAGCAGTTTAAAAATGTTTCTCACCCAGTCGACGGCTTCGCAGGAAATGTAGCATGGGCAGCTGTGGGGACTCAGATATTCTGGTTTTCACACATCCTCACCACCCGATCACAGGTTGAGCTCACACTGCTATTATTGTGGTGCGTAGTAGAATAAATAGCAGGGCGGATGTGGGGGGGAAAGTGAGGGTTCAAAGTCATGGTTCACACAGGCAGAACAGTCAAAGCCCCCTAATCACTCCAAGCATGTATGTAACCTCATCCACAGGATTCCACTGCTCCCCCCACTTCATACTCTGTTGGTTACATATCGCTCCACTCTCCCTTCTCAGTTCTCTCATCTACACTCACTTACTCCACTCCACAGCCCTCAATTGTCTCACTCTCACTCTAGTTTCACCTCCGAGTCCTTTCCTGTGACTTTCCTACACAGCTACTGAATAAATCTCACAGCTCGACACTGTTTTGATTCATTGCTCTTATGTTCCCAGACTCGCTTATCTGTTTCTGGCCGGTTTGTGGCGTAGTGTTTCCGCTTCTGTCTCCTCTCCTTTTTATCTCCACAATACAAAAGTTTTGTTCCCATGCTGACCGTTTTTGCATTTATCATTTAGAACATTTATCTACAAATATTGAAAATGTAAACCTGTGGTCAAATAACATGAAACAAAGCACTTTAATGCTTTAAAGACACATTAACTAAGATTTTACACAGTCTGATAAATCCAGTCTCTGGGATTGACATGTCATCCCCCGATTTTTGCCATGAAAAGGGTTAAAAGCAGCCAAAGGACTCAGAGTGGATTGACATGTGACATTTATCCTTTTTAGGCCCCCTGCCACCTAGACAAAGTTATAAGAAGCTTTTTTCAAATGACAAGTCATTCAAACAGCCAGCCATGGAGGAGCTCTGGGCAGCTAAAAGTCTGAAACAGCATTGTTCTTTTCACAGAGAGAGTGGGGCAAAGAAAGACCAAAAACCAGTTTGGCTTTTTGCCATGAAAAGGGTTAAAAGCAGCTCTGGGATTGACATGTCATCCCCCGATTTTTGCCATGAAAAGGGTTAAAAGCAGCCAAAGGACTCAGAGTGGATTGACATGTGACATTTATCCTTTTGGATGTGTTTGCATCTAAGCTAACGTGTTTGTTTTGGTAACATTAGCAACCTAGCGTTGAGACGATTTTACTGTTGTATTGACGTGATATGATTTTAATTTGAGCTTTGTGTTAAGCTAGTATTTTGGGTCACATTAGCAGTAACCACAGCCTTCCACGATTTTACTGTTGTATTGACGTAATACGATTTTAATTTGAGCTTTGTGTAAAGCTAGTATTTTAGGTCACATTAGCAGTAACCACAGCCTTCTACTGGACTGACACATTTACTCGTTAATTAGCTGATGCTAGCTTCAGACTGGAGGCTGCATTTTGTACAATTTGTCGAAACCAGGCACCTGTAGTTTACGTCGTTGCTAGGAAAGAGGACGTGATGGGAGGCAAAGAGCCATTTGGAGCGCCTTGTTGAATCACTTTGTTTTGAGTCTCACTAGAGGCTCTAGGCTGACAAGACATTAGGTAGGTGAGCTGACCATCTAGTTACTAGGTTGATCCTCTGTTCGTTGTCAAAGAGGGACTTTGTGTACATTAGACTGAAGTAGCTTTCAGGGACAAACACATTTTCTAAAAGTAAACTTCTTTGAGGTCTTGACATGGATTGCTGCACAGTCTGTATATGTGCCTCCCGATGTTTTGTATGATGTGCATCTTACTACACAACAATGGGACAGGGTATTGTACGGCTTTGGTTCTCAAAATGGAGACAGAAGTTCAAAAGGCAAGAAAGAAAAAGAAGAACCCAGAATCAAAATATAATGTGATCACAGTAGAGGCACAAAGACGTCTTGGATCATCTGATGGTTTGTCCCAGTGCTTTCTTTTTATTTGAGGTCCTTGTTGTGTAGTGCAAGCTGATGCTCCACATACAGGAGGTGAGCTTAGCTGTTGCAGGAGAGATTTAAACAAACTGATCCAGTGTTAGTGTTGACTTTGATGGTCCAAGGTACATTAGATCCTTGCAGCACATAAACATTGTTTAGCCACCAGCAGCAGAATACGTGGAAGCTCTATTAATAAACCCTGTAGCGTTGCACAACTGCTGCAAGGTGCTCCCTTGTGTGACCCTTTCTCCGGTCGTCCAGCGGGCTAGAACACTAGTATACAAAGTAACAGCAGATACTCCTCCTGAAAGGGTGTTGCTTGATCTACGGTTCTTCTTTTCACCAACATATTTCACTGTCATGGTGATACAGATGGTTGAGGCCCTTGTGGTTTAAAGTGTCCCTTCTTGTATCTCTGAACTAGTTAAATGTGTTTTCACAGCTGTGCCTGTGTCAACGTACAACAACATGCTCATCACGTCACATTTGGTCCCGTGCTTCTGTGACGGCACTAAATTTACCACTAGTTTGATGATTCACAGCCACGAAGAAAAAGGATAATGGTTAATTCTCAGGCTATAATATGAATTCTATAAATGTAATAACGTAGTGTTTTGGACGCTGTCTTTGACAGACCTGAGTCCCAGTCAGACGAGTTCTGAGGAGAAGTTGAACCATGAGGCCCAGGAGCTGGAGAAACGGCTGAGCATGCTGTCTCAGAGAAGCAGCACAGGTACAGTGTTACTGTGACGCCATGGTCAGACTTAAAGAAGGAAAAAGCTGCAACTAAACATTTTCACATTATACAAACCTTGCTGAAGGTCTCTTTCATTAGTTAATTATCCCATAATCATTTCTCTACTGCAGTGAGCCCTCTTGCCTTCCAATGAGTATAAATGAAACATTGGCTTTTAATAATGTTGTACTTGGGTTTAAATTAAATTTGCAGACTTGACATTAAATACAAAGGTGATTTATTGTTCCTATTATGTGCAGACTACCAGAGAGGAAACAGGCATAATGATATTCTAATGCTTTAAATGCGCTTTATTGATGAAGGTAGTGTTTTCTGCTGATTAAATTCATGAAAGTTTTATTGATGTTGTTGTTGTTGTTGTTGTTGTTGGCACCTTCATTGTCCACATACTGCCCATCTGCTGGGGGAGATGACCACAGTATATCTGGTTCCTCTGACACTTCAGACACCAGCCAGTCAGACTGCAGTGGGCTGGCCCTCTGGTCTGATCCGGCCTCCAGTTCATCTGAGCAAGGCCATGTTGCCGTTAAAGTGGCACTACAGAGCATTGAGAAGCTTTCCATCAGCCAAGGAGGTGGAAACCTGCCTGCGGCCAAGCCTCCCCGCCAGCTTCAGGAAATCGGCCGTCAGAGTTCATCTGACAGCGGCATCGCCACTGGAAGCCATTCCTCTTACACCGGAAGTTTCTCCTCTTACACGGGGAGCCTGGATATCACGGCTGGGGAGGACTTTGGCTCTGTTTTCAGCTTGCCTCCCCATTTGGCTCAAGACCTGAGCCCCTGTATTTGCCCCACCGTTCCTGGACAAGAGTACCGGGTGCCGACATCACTGAGGTATCTCTATGACTCTCCCAGGAGTCTTTTACAGGAGGGAAATATTGGTGCCAGAGACGATGAACCCTCCACCCCAACCGAGGACACTTTAAGGCTCATGACAGAGTCGGCTAAGTGGGATGAAAGCAGTCCTCCGCCGTCTGAGGCACAGTCAGAAACTACTAAAGGACAGTCGGTGAGTGAACATGGACAGGGCCCTTCACAGGACTGTAAACAAACCAAGATTGCGCCCTCTAGTGACCGTCCAGACTCCTGTCACATGTGCAGCTCTTTCACATCTGCCTCTAAAACACTGGTGACCATCTGCTCAGTGTGCGGTGGATTTAAGGTGAGGATCTTTTTTTTTACCTTTTTTGCCACAAACAGACTACACTGAGAAATAAATGTCTGTCTAGTCTCGTTGGCTATGTTTTAGAACTTAAAGTGCCATCTGTCTCGTTCAGACGGTCTCATGAATGCACATGTGTTGCCTTATCATCCGTGCATCATCTGTTGTGAGTCTTGTGGTCAGTGTGACCTTTGTGGTATCATGGAGGCTGATGGCCGATGCCGCTCTGCGTTTGGTGTGTCAAAACAACTAACAGTCCCACGGCCCATCTGTCTAACATGTAGCATATCAGCAGGCAAATGAGGTTGACGCAGCAGATTTAGACCTTTAGTCAAGTTAATTTCTCTTTCTACACCTTTACCTCACATTTATTGCTGAACCTAGTACTGCTTTTTATGAGAGGTTGTGTAAACTCCAAACTGAATATTATCTGAGTTAATCTATTTTAATAACCAGTTTCTGATGTGTTGCTCTGCTAGTAAAACCCTCTTACAATTGTTGAAGCAGCTAATTGCTTCAGGCAGACTTTAAAGATGTTTAACTAGAATAAATCAGTTTTGAGGTTGATTCAGTTTGACTGTGATATGTAGTGTTTAGTTTTTATTTGATAGTCTGAGCTAATGTACAGTAACTATGAGAAAATGTCTTCTTGCATTTCTGGAACAAAAGCTCTGAAATGTGAGCTATAATTTAAGTGCAGGGATTGTTTATAATAAAAACTATAGATTATTAGTAGCCTTTTTTTTAAATGCCTCATATTTAAAGAGCAGGTTTGCCAGTTTGTCTTACCGTTGTTTTACATTTCACACAAAGCCCCTCAAACTGAGCCTGTTTGTTTCCTTTATGATTTCTCAGGGGGCACCATACATCCCAGCAAGTGGCTCAGTGATGCCTGCCATGCCAGGTATGTGTGTAATTGGCTGCACACTGCATGCATTTTCTATTCCATGCATGAGCAGATTTGATGCATGTTTGGGGACAACCGCTGATGCCGCAGCCTGTTGATGTGATTTGCGATAGAAATCCAAGTGTGTTGCAGGTTTTCTTTGGCCTCCAGAACACCGTATTTTCAATCCTGCAGATCAAACTGTTGACAAATCACCATGCAGACCCAGCACTGCTGTTCAGTACTGTACTGTAGGGAAGGCAAGTCTGGAGACATCATGGGTCTCTCCAGGATCTGGAAGCATCCTCAGCCCTGTGACGACAGATTCACCGCTGCCAAGAAAAGGAAGAGCGAAATTAGTTGGCCTCTTAGCTGCTCTGCTAGGCTTTCCAAGCGCAGAGACGCGACCAGAGGCAAAGACTCGCAGACTGAACCTGTATGAGTCAATGAGCCCCGCTTTTGGAAATGAGCTCAAATCGATATCAGCTGACACCTATGTACTGTTACAAGACAAAAGAGCTGCCATCTATGAAAACTGCTCCAAGTGTCAGAGAGAGAAGTGCCGCGCTGCTCCCTGCATCGTACCTGCTGAAATGTACTGTGCCAGGAACGCCTCCACGTTACCAACCATTCCACCTAGGCTGAAGAAAAGCCAAGAACATGAAGTACCTGTTAATGAGGAGCTGCTTCATCGAGCTGGCAGCGACGGGTCACAGAGCGTGGACGGGCTGCATCACACCAGGGAGATGAACGGTCGAACCAGTGAAGGTAAGAGGCCTCGTTGCCAGCTTCCTCTTCAGCTGAGAACAAACTTCCTGCGTAGCCTCTGGTGTCCCTTTCCTCTCCAGTGGATCCTCTCTTTGGTTCTGTCCTGTTCATCAAAACCCCACTTGTGGCCTCTTGTGTTTAATCAGCTGCTTGTTTTCTCTCTGCACTCTGTTCTGTTGCTTGTACAGTTGAGCTCTGAGTCGCTGAAGTTACTGCAATGCTTGCAACAGTAGTAAGGATGTACGGTATAGACCGAAGGAAATGCCACTGTCTAGTAAGACACTTGTTCTAAAGGGTTTATAAGTAATGTTTTAATTACTGGTTATTTTAAATCAGTTGTAAGCCTTTAATAAAGACACTTTAGTTTGTGGAAAATCCCTTTGACTGTACCATATGGACACTTTTCTAATGTAGATAAGGACTGTGTTATGTATTAATCGGTGCCCATCCTTTATAGCAACAAATGGTAAATGGACTGTATTTTATATAGCGCTTTCTCACAGTGTGTTACACTGGCCAAAGCGCTTTACAGGAGATTATACACCATTCACCCATTCACACACCGAGACGTTACTTTGCTACATAGCAAATTAAAAAGTTTCCCAATCAATGATTTATTAACCAAAAGACTTTATAAAAAGCACCTTATTAAACAACATCACTAAGATTTCTGATGAGGGTAGCTTAAATTTGGTGATTCTCTATCTGTAAAACAACAAACTAAGACCAGTGAGGACGTCAGTGCCCTCTGGTGGACAAACTATGTAATGGTGCCATTGTTTCCACAGTAAATGACTTCGAGCGTGCACTTCTGCACTGGAGTTTCCTGTTACTTTTTGGCTGATATATACACCCGTTAGTTGCCTTATAAATAACAGGAAATCTGTTTGTCTATAGGAAAATGGACAATTGGCAGGGATCCATTTTTATTTATTTATTTCCAATCTCCTATATCCATTGATGTTGACCATTTAAAAAGCCTCTAGTGGCCAGGCTGTAACGTCTGTGCCAGTATATCTATCATTCAATATCATCAGTGTTGGGCTCTACTGTAAAGCCTCATAAAACTAAATATCAGTGATTACCAGGTTTAAATTTGTGTTTAAATCCCATTTGACCAGGACCAGAGCTGACACTAAACCCTCTGTTGCATATTGAATCTCTTAACCAGCATGCAAACCTTGAAGTCTTTCACATTATCCATGATTAATGCAGCCCCTACTCCCAGCACCAGGCAGTGACAGGATGCCATGTGTAATAGTTTGCCGTATCATGAGATGTTGAATCAACCCACTGTTATTTGTTCCCACCACTGGAGCTTCAGGAATTCACACATTTCTGCCCAGAGAGCACTTTTCTTCACAGAATGACTGACAGACACAATATGGGATTTTTTTTTTTTGGCACGAAACAGTTTTGTTTCTTAGATTTTAATACACACTGTATTTTTCTCACCCAACAGACAAAAGGCTTAATAATAAAGAGGAAAGATGCAGAGCTGATCCTGCTTTTGAAATCATGGAGAGCCAGGCACCAGAGAGGAACTCGGAGGTAGGCCAGTCCAAAACACTCTAATCGGCTTTACGCTATCAAGTGCTTACACGTTTTGACTGTGTAACTTGTGCCCAACATATGTGAAGAAACGTCACTGGAAAATCATTGGGATTATAGAGAATGAATAAAGCTCGTGTGTTGGTTTTTTTTAAGCAGCTTGAAGGCACCAGAGTAATGTCTGTATCTGAATGAGAGAAAATTGGTTCACTCAGCATTTTATGGTTTAGAGAAAGTCTGGTCCAGGCAGTTTTCTCATGAGTGGATCTGTATAAGCAGTCGAGAAAGTCTGTAATGTTTCTGTTTTGTGTACTGTGTGCATGCAGTCCTGCAGGATTATCTTAGCTTCAGTGTGATTGTCTGATGGGACACACTATTCTCAGCAGTTTGTTCAACCACTTCCAGTTTACAAACCAGAGACCGTGTGCACAGCACTGAGGAAGAAAAAACTTCCGCAATATTGTAATAGTTTATATATATATATAATAGCTTTGAAAGCTGAAACGGCAGCTAGCTATACACAAACTCGGCTCCACAGGTAGAAACGACCCCAATGCCTCCAAAATCACCAACCCCCCTCCATCACCAAAGGTTAAAGCACAGAAGCCCACAGATGTGAAACCGGGCTAGCAGTTTTCCACTGTTTCCAGCCTGTTTGCTACGCTAAGTGAACCACCTCCCGCCTCACGCTTACTGTAACACACAGACTTGAGAGCTTCATCTCTTGATGCTTAGCAAGAAAACAAAATCATTTCCCAAAATGTCAAACTGTTCCTTTAAGTTTGTGTATACAAATCATTTATATATAGAAAACACATTTAGACTGGTAATCTGATTCTGTCTCGAATGCTGAAAAACCTAGCCCTGAGGCCAGTGGGTGTTGGTTACAAATATCCACTTTTATGTATTAGGCTCTTTATTTCTGATTATGATGATGGTGCCATGAAGAAAGCCCTCTCTGTGCACACTGCGGGCAATGGCCTCTCAGCGAGACTCAAAGCACGGCTGCTCTCCGCCACCAATTTTCACACCACAATAGCTGTGCTTACAGCGGCTGTCTGGAATCAGAGATTATGGGGCTGCAATTTGAGAGGCACAGCTACCCGTCCATAACGATGAGGCATTGCCAGCAGTGTTTCCGCATGTAAGACACAGCCCAGAGCTCTCCGTAAATCCTAAGCATCAGCCTTGGGCTGTAAATTCTCCTGACATTTCCACTGAGCTGTTCAGGAGAACGTCATAGTCACATTTCTTAAGTAATAGATTTATATGCTGAGTACGGTCACATGATAATCGACAGCGCTTACTGACTGTGTTGCAGGCAGAGGAAAAAAGCAGGTGCGAGACAATGGTCAGCCGTGGTCAGCAGAGCTTCCTTCAGGAGAGTGAAGGTGAGTGACACTGACACCATGACATGCAGCAGCATGATCAGGGTCATCTTTTGGCTAAAATTCAACCAAGCCAGTCAGATATGTTGTGAACGCTCTCAGCTGCACGCTACCCAGAAGAATTACACTCCTGACTCGGCACTGTTACAAACACATCACCTGTTGCTCAGCGTGAATGAATTGAAGTGAATAAATAAACCAAGCCTCATTCAGCCTGAAGGGCCAAACTGTGGCAGAAGGGTGATGGTAGGAACAGGCAGGAAGTTGCTTTCATGAACTGGTACGAACAGAGGTGCTGTCTGAGGTTCCTGAAAATCACTAGCTTAGTGTTGTGTGAGCAGAGCCCAGCCCGAGTTTGTGCTTCTCACGTATTGTCATGATATTTGCGTTTCAGAACTAACCAGTCGTGAAACCTTAATAAATATCCCCCTTTATTTACAACCACGCTGGTTAATCTACTGGTATAATCTGGTTTAATGTGTCATACTGGTGAGTATTTGTGGCAGCAAAGTGTGAAGGATTGTAACAAAATAAACTTATTAAAAATAATCTTAGCTCTGTGACTTGAATGTGGGGCTGAATAGAGGAATACATTTCTGTAATTGTCAGAGTTGAGTCATAGTGTAGACCTGAAAGCACATACAGCCATGAGTCACGTATGTAATTTGTGTTGCCATTAATGTCATTTAGAATCAAGGCCTCTCGTTTCTGTCTTACATTCGGAGAGTGTAGAGTAAACGTGTCTTCATCTGTATTTTATGCAATGGCATAAACTTGTTACATAAGAGCTGCGTTAAAATAAGACACACACAACACAGTGTTGTGTGACAGGACGCCGGCCCTGATGGGAGGTGAGAGGACGTCGTCAGGGGATGTTTGACCACTTAAGCCTCCCACACTCAGAAACACATCCTCAAAGTCTTTTAGCAGCTTTCAGTGTGGCATCGGATCTCAGTCATGGTCATGTGCCTACACGCAGCTCTGCTCCCTCGCCATCATCCTGCCTCAGTAGTCAGCTAATGGAGGGGGGTGTGTAGGAAGTGCCAGTGGCTCAGGGTAATGTGAGGATGCAGGCTGGATGGCAACTGAAGCTAAATGTTCATGTGACGTTATAGTGTTGGAAAACTCTTCATGCAACAGCTTGAGCTCCTGTGTGCGGTTAGCAGCTATGATGATGCATTTTATTCCCATGTGTAAGAATTAAGGTGTAGCTGTGGCGTGCAGCTCGACTAAGTGTTTAGAGCTGTTCTTCCACTTTTCCCCTGCAGTCTGCATAGCGCTGAAAAACGATTCCCTGCTGGGACTTGATACCCAGAGTCAACCTGTCACTTTATGAAATTGCGCCTCACCGTGTCCGGCTTCATTTTGAGCTCTTAGATCAGGTAATGACTGAATTGGCTGCTAGTGCTACCATAAGCCTGGCTGCTAGTGCTGCAGGGTGGGAGCACACATGTTCGCTTTCTCTATACTAGGATGCTAAGGTTACCTTTTCAAATGGTGGAAAAGGTTTGTCATCTCCTCTCTGCATCAGGTTGCCTGCATGTAGTGTGGCTGGTATCACTCTGTGTTTATTCAGCTTTAGGTAGCTGAACCATTTCCAGATGTGGAGTGACCTCTTTTTGCCACACTTTCATCGGCCTGGGCGGCTGTCTGGCTCTCTTCATGGTCACGCGGTTTTACGTTTCTAACGAGGTGTGTTTTTCCTTGTTTTGGCCCTACTGTGCATGTGTCATCTGTCACATTTCTGTAGCCTAATAGGGGGATTGTGCAGAGGACTGACCCCAGTGCAGAATAGATAGATTTACTGAAATTAAATCATCAGTTTATCATTAGCGCTGTGGGGATTGTTTTTGTCTTTTTGCCCACATTGGTCACATGGTGAAACTCTGGTTGTGACTAAACTGGCCTCTCCACATCATGTCTGTCATTTGTTAGTATTCATCTAGGACTGACTGCAGTGTGTAGGAGCCTTTTAAGCCATTAGTTTGCTTCAAAGGAAGTACTTGTCAGAATGGCGCCTGAACCCCCCGTCCCATAAATGGGTGTAGGTGGAGGACGCACCTGGCATCTGTCTGAAATTGACAGTCCAACAACAACGGCCAGGTGCTTTCTCTTTCCATTCTTCATGCGACTATTTCTGTCACTTTTTGTACGAACGAGTTCGACAACATAAACGCCTTCGAGGACAAAGTGTGCACTTAGCCTCATTTGTACAGTACATCAGCAGGGCCTTTCACTGTGAGGCCAGCTGGAACGGAGGTAAATACTTCTACCTTCAAATCTGTTCAGACGACGCTTTGTGTGAAGTAGCTTGTTTCCTTGCTTTTGTGTACTCAGAAATTGCTTGTGTCCATCATTGTCAGGTAAAGCATTTTATTTCAAAGTGTCAACAGTTGGGGTGACACAGAAACCAGGGCTCAGTCCCAGGTAGTGGCACCACTCGCTCGGTTGTGTAGTTTAGCAGAGTTACAGGTGGGAAACCGGTTTGTTCAGGTTTCACCCTGGTGAAACTGGGGAAAACCTACCAGGGTATCTATGAAAAAGATTCACTTCTTTGGCATAATCATTCCCAAAGGATTCATAATGCATCTAACTTTAACTTGCGGGTGTTTTATGTGAGTTTTAAATGTTGTCATTCTGAGTGAAGTCGTCACTCTCTTGGCATGTAATCACCTCTGTACCAGAGCTTAATGTCTGCCTGCTCCGAAAACTAGATGAAAGGTAGAAAACCGGCTTCTCACCCTGAAGACACGCTTGTCATTAGACCCATGTTTTCCCCTTAAAAGCGGGTGACCCTGTGAGTTCGGGTCACCGAGCTCAGCCAGGTATTGCTTCTAACTTTCCCCCTAGAGGCTTCACAAAGTGTATTATCGAAATGTCGCCCAGCTTTAGAGCTGCGGGCAAAACCCACTGTTGTAATGGCAGCTATTATAAAACACCACACTTCTGCGAGGGCTGCTTGGTGTCTGATAAATTAGGTATCAGGCCTCTTAGACGTTGCACCCGCCGAGAATCTGCTAGCGCCTAATGGCTTCTCGCTGATTGTGCGTTTCCCTTGGGGTTGATGCCTGTGAGCTGTGGGTAATGGTTGCTGCTGCTGCCATTTAGGAAGAGTCAATAGCAGGTGGAATCTTTTTTGTTCCCAAATGTTAGACGTTACCGGCATCTGCACAAGTTTCGCTGCGTTGTGTCTACATGAGTGTAATGACAACATGGCTATAGCGACACAGATCAATGTAAAGCCATAAAATTTTTACAGTGACTGTTGAAACAAGTTATTCTTAAAATGCAGCATTTCATAGTGTTACAATATGCATATACTCTTAGGAACAGATGTTTTACTTCCTGTTAGAGGTGTAGAATAACCTTTTGTCTTCTAGAAGTAGATTGATCAGTGTTTCTAGCTGTGATTGTCCTCAGATTGTTGAACACACTGCAGAAGACGCATATGTAAAAAGCTTTCTAGCTTCTCTAGATACTCTTTAATCTTAAACACAGTACTTTTACTGTAACAGCTAAAGTATAAGGTGGATGGATGATACACGAGTTGTTTATATTGTACTTTGTCACCAGATGCAGGAGTTAAAGAAGAGCCTGAACTCTTTGATTAGATTATACATCAGAAACTAGTTTGGAGATTAATTTTCTAAGCTCGGAGGTTGTCACTTGGTCAGATTGTATGGACTGTATGTGCTGACAAACGTGTGAACACATTTGAGTATGCAGACTACCAATGCAGTAAACACATTTATATACAAAGTGTCGATTCAGCTGTGTGGTCATTTTGGAAGCTGGGGTTTCTGCTGCTGTTGAACTGTATTATAACTGTATTACAGGTGTCTCCCCATATAAATCAACGAGGCTGGGCTCGATCCATGGATCTAGAAATGCAGTTTCTCTTGCAGCATATTCCTCATTCCTTGTCACTGAACTCCACTGTTGTCCAGAAACTTGTAGAATCACACAGAGCCATAATAAGTGACACATTTTCCATTACACCTAGTTTAAAAAAACAAACAGAACTGAATCTCCAAGCCAACCACTGAGTCATTCATAGTGATCTCATTCATACTGGGTCACATTCATTGTGATGAAACCATTCTAAATGTACTCATGTGGCTATAGAACAGGTCTATACCTTTTTGGATGACAGTGGAATTATTTGGCATGGAGATGCAGCATAAGTGATCAGTGTCTCGTCAGTAGGTTAAATTATTTGCTGGTTTCTGCAGGTCTGCTGTTGCTAAAAATAAGAATTCACACCTTTTGAATAGACACAAATGAACAAAATACCATCTCAGTTTAATTAACAGTCTTTCTGTTGCATTTACAGGGGCAGTGTTCATTTTCCCCCCAGATGCACCGCTTCCTGAGAGGCCACACAGTGAGGGAGTGACATACGTGAATATTCCTGTTAGTCCCACGTCTAAGAAGCAGCTCAACTACCTGGAGCTGGAGCTGCAGGAGCCGGGGCCTGGCCCTCGAGGGACTGTCGCACACCTACCAGCACAAAGTAAGGATGCTTGTGAAACAACAGTTTGCCTCTAAAGCAGCTGTGCTCAGCTGTAAAAACACCATGTTGTACTTTAATCAGACAGCAGCCAAGTTGAACAGTCAGGTGGCAAATTCCACTTGTGGAGAAAATCTGCTGTTATTGTAACAATAACAATCTCAGGGAAGGTCATGGTTAGACAGTTATCAGGATGTATTACTCATTTAAACTTAACAACAGTAATTAAAGCAGTTATCTACCTGTAATGTTGAAAATGGCCAGTGTGTGCGAAGCAGATGGGGGGTGTAGTGAATAGAACACAGACCTGAGCTGTGCTGACCTGTGAGTAGTAGACAGTGGCAGGAAAAGTGAGTGAACCATTTGGAATGACCTGGTTTTCTACATGAACTGGTCAAAAAATGTGATCTGATCTTCATCCAAGTCACAAATTTAGACAAACAGCTTACGCTAAAAATACACTTATTTTTCATGTCTCTATTGAACCCAGCCATTAAAGGAATAGTTAGGTGTTTTTTTTTTTACTTGTATGGTGCTACTATAACGTATCCCTCCACCATAGCATGGAAAAAGTGAACCTTTGGATTTAACAACAGGTTGAAGCTCCTTTAACAGCATTAACCTTAAACAAGTGCTTCTTGTAACTGTGGATCAGACCTGGTGCTTCAGCTCAGACATTCCCGGGTTGAGGTCTTGGCTGTGTTCGGGCCACTCCGGATAGCTGATTTTCTTGCTTTGAAGCCATGGATTTACTTTGTTTAGGGTCATCACTCAACTGGTACTGAGCCTCAGCTGACGGACAGCCACCCTGACTAAGGAGCTTCAACCAGTTATTAAATCCAAAGGCTCACTTGTAGAGAACCATGTCACTTACTTTGCCACGGTAGCTGAGAGTCGCCACGTCCTGGCCCATTTATACTTGTCAGACAACATGTTAAATCTTTAACGAAGGCAGTACCTGCTAAAGAGTCAAGAATCTTTGTCATGCATAGCACGACGAAATATTTTCCGGCACAAACATCAGCATGCTAGCATTGTCGTACCGAGTAGCTTGGCTGAAGGTGCTTTGTGTCTTTAATGTAATCAAAAATCTCGTTTGTTATTACAGACAAGCAGGCATCTTTTTTGCGTCGTAAAGTGTTCTGCTTGCACGTACAGTGGAACCTCGGTTTTCGTGATTAATCTGTTTGAAGAAAACTGAAGCAATATTTCCCTTAAGAAATAATGTAAATCCAATTAATCCGTTCCAGACACCCAAAAATATTAAAAAATACATTTTATAGAGAATAACTATATTTTTACATACAGAAAACAATGAGAAATAAATATAAATGACTAATGAAATGAGCATTAACATCACTTTTACCTTTATTGAACACTCTTGTTGGCGTATGGAAGACGGCGAGGAGGGGAGAGGGAGGAGGAGAGGTTATTGTTTGGAAGGGGAATCCCCCTCCATAAGGACTTCATGTATCAAGGCCCAATCTGGGGTTACTTCCGGGAAATGAGTGGCGGAGTCACACGAGCAGGCAGACGAGTTTGGTACGGACTAATGACGCTGAACCGACCAATCAACTGTACGAAAAGTAGGGCATAGAAAAACCGAGGTCCCACTGTAATGTAGCTGGGGTTTCTGCTGCTGTTGAACTGTATTATAACTGTATTACAGGTGTCTCCCCATATAAATCAACGAGGCTGGGCTCGATCCATGGATCTAGAAATGCAGTTTCTCTTGCAGCATATTCCTCATTCCTTGTCACTGAACTCCACTGTTGTCCAGAAACTTGTAGAATCACACAGAGCCATAATAAGTGACACATTTTCCATTACACCTAGTTTAAAAAAACAAACAGAACTGAATCTCCAAGCCAACCACTGAGTCATTCATAGTGATGAAACCATTCTAAATGTAGTCTTGTGGCTATAGAACAGGTCTATACCTTTTTGGATGACAGTGGAATTATTTGGCATGGAGATGCAGCATAAGTGATCAGTGTCTCGTCAGTAGGTTAAATTATTTGCTGGTTTCTGCAGGTCTGCTGTTGCTAAAAATAAGAATTCACACCTTTTGAATAGACACAAATGAACAAAATACCATCTCAGTTTAATTAACAGTCTTTCTGTTGCATTTACAGGGGCAGTGTTCATTTTCCCCCCAGATGCACCGCTTCCTGAGAGGCCACACAGTGAGGGAGTGACATACGTGAATATTCCTGTTAGTCCCACGTCTAAGAAGCAGCTCAACTACCTGGAGCTGGAGCTGCAGGAGCCGGGGCCTGGCCCTCGAGGGACTGTCGCACACCTACCAGCACAAAGTAAGGATGCTTGTGAAACAACAGTTTGCCTCTAAAGCAGCTGTGCTCAGCTGTAAAAACACCATGTTGTACTTTAATCAGACAGCAGCCAAGTTGAACAGTCAGGTGGCAAATTCCACTTGTGGAGAAAATCTGCTGTTATTGTAACAATAACAATCTCAGGGAAGGTCATGGTTAGACAGTTATCAGGATGTATTACTCATTTAAACTTAACAACAGTAATTAAAGCAGTTATCTACCTGTAATGTTGAAAATGGCCAGTGTGTGCGAAGCAGATGGGGGGTGTAGTGAATAGAACACAGACCTGAGCTGTGCTGACCTGTGAGTAGTAGACAGTGGCAGGAAAAGTGAGTGAACCATTTGGAATGACCTGGTTTTCTACATGAACTGGTCAAAAAATGTGATCTGATCTTCATCCAAGTCACAAATTTAGACAAACAGCTTACGCTAAAAATACACTTATTTTTCATGTCTCTATTGAACCCAGCCATTAAAGGAATAGTTAGGTGTTTTTTTTTTTACTTGTATGGTGCTACTATAACGTATCCCTCCACCAGTCAAAAAATGTGATCTGATCTTCATCCAAGTCACAAATTTAGACAAACAGCTTACGCTAAAAATACACTTATTTTTCATGTCTCTATTGAACCCAGCCATTAAAGGAATAGTTAGGTGTTTTTTTTTTTACTTGTATGGTGCTACTATAACGTATCCCTCCACCATAGCATGGAAAAAGTGAACCTTTGGATTTAACAACAGGTTGAAGCTCCTTTAACAGCATTAACCTTAAACAAGTGCTTCTTGTAACTGTGGATCAGACCTGGTGCTTCAGCTCAGACATTCCCGGGTTGAGGTCTTGGCTGTGTTCGGGCCACTCCGGATAGCTGATTTTCTTGCTTTGAAGCCATGGATTTACTTTGTTTAGGGTCATCACTCAACTGGTACTGAGCCTCAGCTGACGGACAGCCACCCTGACTAAGGAGCTTCAACCAGTTATTAAATCCAAAGGCTCACTTGTAGAGAACCATGTCACTTACTTTGCCACGGTAGCTGAGAGTCGCCACGTCCTGGCCCATTTATACTTGTCAGACAACATGTTAAATCTTTAACGAAGGCAGTACCTGCTAAAGAGTCAAGAATCTTTGTCATGCATAGCACGACGAAATATTTTCCGGCACAAACATCAGCATGCTAGCATTGTCGTATTGAGTAGCTTGGCTGAAGGTGCTTTGTGTCTTTAATGTAATCAAAAATCTCGTTTGTTATTACAGACAAGCAGGCATCTTTTTTGCGTCGTAAAGTGTTCTGCTTGCACGTACAGTGGAACCTCGGTTTTCGTGATTAATCTGTTTGAAGAAAACTGAAGCAATATTTCCCTTAAGAAATAATGTAAATCCAATTAATCCGTTCCAGACACCCAAAAATATTAAAAAATACATTTTATAGAGAATAACTATATTTTTACATACAGAAAACAATGAGAAATAAATATAAATGACTAATGAAATGAGCATTAACATCACTTTTACCTTTATTGAACACTCTTGTTGGCGTATGGAAGACGGCGAGGAGGGGAGAGGGAGGAGGAGAGGTTATTGTTTGGAAGGGGAATCCCCCTCCATAAGGACTTCATGTATCAAGGCCCAATCTGGGGTTACTTCCGGGAAATGAGTGGCGGAGTCACACGAGCAGGCAGACGAGTTTGGTACGGACTAATGACGCTGAACCGACCAATCAACTGTACGAAAAGTAGGGCATAGAAAAACCGAGGTCCCACTGTAATGTGTTTTTGAGTTTTGAGAGTCCAAAACCTTTGCAGTTTACAACCTACATCATAATGTGTCTCTGTTGACCAGTGACTTTGGCCGAGGTCCCTGAATTTTACCGTTATTAAGCCCTTTATGTTCCAGGTGCTAACTTGAAGCTGCTCGGGAAGAAAATCAGCTCAGGTGAGTTCACACAGAATAAGAATAAGTTGGTTAATAAAACCACTTTGTTTATGTTTAGCTGTGATTTTAAGTGTTTACCAGAAGCTTTCAGGTAATAGCAGCGGTGTCGGCAGGTAGTGGTGAGCAACAGTAAACAGCAGACTGCCCACAACACACAGCAAGATAACTATTGAAGCTAATGGGATTACTAAGTATTGGAGTTTGAGCTCATAAGCCACCCTCACCCTTATCGAAGTTAAATAATATTCACATATCATACAGTTGTTCAGTGATCTGCTGGATTTAGATTACATACATCAACAGAAGTGATCAGAAACGCTGTGCAGCATCAATCAGGGACAAATAATTGTACAATACATGTGGCTGTTGGTATTTATTAAAGGCTGGGGGTTTAGCCTTCCTTGTTAATTCATAGAGAAACAGCCTAAGTCACTGTGGTAGCTGCTGACATCAACACCGAGCAGCCGATGGCACAGCTGCTATTAACTGACCATCCTGAACTTGCACAGACTGTATTCATGGCTAAATGTGGACAAAGTGGTTCCTGAACTAAAGAGCACCTTAATGTTATTCCCTGTGAACTCACCAGAAAGTCTCGCTGTGATTGACACGACTTGGTGTTTGTAAAGAAACGCTGATACAGAAACGGTAATATACATTTTCTGCTTAGACCCTTCAGACCGATCAAAAAAAAAAACAAAAGCCAACAATTAAATTGAGTAGGGCATCAATATCAAACGAGCATGAGAAAGTTGTTCTAGATTGTTCTGTAATCACATTTTACTTCGCTGGAGTTACAGGAATTGCTCCCCAGCGATCGAGTCTCATAAAAGGACAGCTGAGTCCTTGTCTTCGGAGACGCGGCGGTGAGCTGTAATTGACAACGCGTTGGCTATTAGTATCATTATCCTCAGGGATACTAGGACCACCCGTGCTCTGACATGAGGGAAGCTAATATCTGATGTCAGTGATACTGTTTATATCCTAGCATGCAGCCTCATTAATTTGTCACCTGGGAAGGAGGGGGTCCCATCTCGCCGCTGTGGCGGTCACAGGGCATTCAGACCACAGCTGTGACTGGCTCCGATGGGATCCTAATCCACGGACTGTTGATGGGTTGTGATGAGCTGCTTTTGATGTCCTTGGTTTTACCAGACTGTAAAAACACAATTCAAGCAAGAGATTAGTGGCACAGCGATATACACTTTTCATGCACCTGTAGGGCGATTCTGCATCTGTGATCACACCGACATCATCTTCATTTCATCCCGGTGAAGGGCACCGTATTATGCTAATGCTAGTGACATGCATATGGCAGCCAGAGCATGAGGGGAATTTTAAAGGCGTCAGCTGAGTCATTTGCACATTCTTCTGCTTTGTGTTGTGACACTCACTTGCATAGCAATGAAGCTGGCAGTGAGGGCAGAGCTCCACCTCATTCTGAACTCTGTCATCTTTGTTTGGATGTTTATCTGGTGTCAAATACTGTAGATTAAAAAAAAAAAAAAAGATGATTCAGCAACATCAGAGCTGTCGCCTTCCAGTGAGGACGTCCTGTATATTCTTCAAACTTTCAGAACTTGCTCTGTGGCCATCAAATGCAGTGACTCCCTTACCATTATATTAGGAGGGCACCCTGTCCCCCTGAAGGTCAAGTTAATTTAATTTTATTTTCTATATAGCCAGATCACAACAGAAGTAATCTAAGGCTACCTTTCCTATAGAACAGGTGCATACCGTGTTCTTTTATTAAACAAACTAAACAGCCTTATGTTATTTATGTTAGTTACATCACGGCATGTCATTTCTGTCTCTACATGGTCCCCCCCACCCTTGTGTCTTGACAGGGAAGCGCTCCACCACGTACGCCCAGATTAACATCACTGCTACAGAGATGGCCCACAAAGTTGGCATGCAGCACGCCTTGGGTCGGCAGGAGGGCCTGCACACCCTGGAGCTGAGAAGAAAGGGGATGCCACATTGACCCCATCATCACTGCAGCGTTGCTCTCAGCCTGGTGTTTCTGCCCAGGACCAGCGAATCCATCAGACTGTAAAGTCTGCAATCAGCATGATTTTTTCAGTCCAGACAGTTCTCAAGAGATCCTCCTCTGTGGCATCCCTTCCCAGTCTGCAAATACTCAAATCCCAGGAAGTGTTACCTGATTAACGTCCAGTTTCTTAGATTCCGATGGACCCTCCTTAGACAGGTTTGGCACAGGCTCACGAGCAGCTCTTCAGACATCTTATTAAGCCGAGCAGAGGCACCAGACCCATTGTACAGCTCGCCCCGGGACGTCCCTGACAACATGCTGCTGTTGTCCTGTTTGGGAGAGATGGTGTTTGTCATGAGGAGCTCAAGTCATGTTTTCGGTATCTTTAAACTGAAGGAAAATGTTTCATCCAGTCTTACTCTGAGTGCTGCAGGTGCCAAGTGAGTTCACAAGCGATTTATGTTAAAGTTGGAGCAGGATAATTAATGGTTCTGTATGATACGTCCACAGCGTGCATGGTGTTTGGCTGGGTGTAAATATTAGATCAGCTGTTGCCCTTACACTGCTGTCGGTTTTTAAATTAATATATATTTAAAAAGAAGTTTGAGTTTATTTTTATGAACTAACTGAAGTGATTAAAACCTCAGCTTGTCTGAAACTGCAATTACAAATAATAATGCATAACCTGATTTGTGTTGTGTAGTCACTATATTGTCTTTGTGTAAAGTATTTTCTTTATATTGAGGTGATGTGGATTGTTATGAAATATTCAGGTGAAGAAACAATTTGTACAGAACAGATGACGGTGCCTCTTTCCTGGTTTTGTTCATGTACATTATTTAGAACACTGGCTAGTTTGTTTTTCTAAGAGCTGAATCGTATCTGGAACTTGATCCCACACGTGCAGCTGTAAACTGTTTGGTGCCATATTCTATAAATCAGCCTGACAAATGATGTTTGTTTTCATTCTGCACTATGACGAAGTTCAGACACTTTCCCACTGAGCACATTATCAAAATGCGTGTGATATTTTGAACTTTCAGGCTACAGAATTTTAGGGCAGTTTATTTTAATTGATCTGTTTAAGGCAGCTATTATCGATCATTTAAACAATATAAAAATAGTAATAAAAGTCTTTAGTCTCTACAAAAAACTTTTTTAAAAAGGTTTTTAAATGTATTCAGTTTAAACTTGATATCCTGATACTGTATAAAGCATATTGGACAATAATATTTCTGACCTAATTCTACTTTATAATTTCAGTGTTACAGAATAAACATGGTAATTTCTAATGTTTATGACATTTCTTTATCGGCCTGCCACAGTTAGCAGTGATAGTGGAACGATAACAAAGTTAGTCTGCTGTGTAGCTACTAAAGTAAAACGACATGTGGGTGAGAGACACTTTAGAAGCAGTTTTATGTGATTTACAATTTAAAAAGGAAATTCGTATCAGACTGTGGTGTGTATTGTAACTATTCAGTTTTAGTTTAGCAGCAATGGAAGAGGTACTCAGATTATTAGGTTAAGTAAAAGTAAAAATACTCTGTTACCAATAAAAGTCCTGTATTCAAAATATATTTAAAGAGTAGTAAAAGTACTCATTATGCAGTACGGCTCATATTATATTATTGGGTTACAATTATTGATGCGTTAATGTGTTCATTACTTTACTGTTGCAGCTGGTAAAGGTGAGGCTAGTTTTGACAATCTTACACACTTTAAACTGAATTAGTGCTGGGCAGCTTCCCACCAGGGATCAGTGGTTATCAGATAAATATAGTGGAGTAAAAGTAGAAGATTTGCTTCTAAAATGTAGTGAAGGTGAAGTATTAAGTAGCATAAAATGACAATACTCAACTATAAATACCTCAGCAGTCCTACCGTTCTTGTTGCGTAGCCTACGGGAGGTGGACATAATAACAGGAACACCTGTGGATTCAAATACATCATAACCTTAGAATCCCTGAGATTGTGGCTCAGACACAGTGATAATCTTCTGGTACTGCTCTATGATGGCAGTTCTATTTGCTTAGTACTTACTGGAGCTGAGTCGAAACATCTTTGGAGGACTGGATGTGCGCGCCCCAGTTTGACAGCGCGAGAGCTCTGGAAGAGAAACAGTAGCACATTATTTTCACAGTGTGGTGCAGACTGGGCTGCAGAAGGTCCAAATGAAAAGCTTCCACACCCATGTGCTGTTAATAGGGATTGTTCCCGTTTGACAACTCCCACCTTAACTTCACTGACATGGGATGAAACCAGGCAGTGCAGCTGTGTCTCTTTAGCCCAGGAACAGAGGCCTGAAGCACAGCTGGCTGTGTGGTCAAATACTGATATACATTGTCTTGGCATTAAAGACGACTGCATGAAAAACTGTAGCTCACACAGCAAACTAGAGAAGGCTGCACAACTGAATACGTGACACCGTATCCCCCCAAATCACAGGCTGAATTTGATGCTTCCAGCTGCAAAAACACAACCTCCTCTGAACTCACTGGTGCATCTGTTGTAAAATAGGAGTTAAATGACCTGAAGTAATGCCACTTCCACCATACACAGTTAGTCTAGACCACCACCACCTGTTCCACCTCTGCACCATGTGCTGTATCGACCGAGGGATCTAATTTAATTTGGACAAATCCATTAATTGTACATGCACACAAACATTACTTCCCACTGATTATCGAGCCCCCTAATCGTCATCCTCAATACATGATATTGTTCTTTGTGTCACTCTTTATCTGGTATATATCAATTCTGTGTAGACTGGATTACAGCAACACAGGGCATGAAGGACCCTGAAATAAGTCATTTGTACGGTAAATGTCTGCGCTCGCCTTGAGACACACTACTGACACACTGAATGTGCTATTTTCTCACTTCATATTGTTCACAATGGCGAGACTGTGACTTGTGGCACATGATAAAAAAAAAAACTAAAATTAGCAGCAGTTTCCGGGTCTGAAACAGCTCGCATATAACATCAACAGTGCCGAGTCTGGCATCACAGCGCTCTCTCAACCTGTGCACTGATGCTCGAACCTACAACCTCAGTAAATGTTACGCTTCCACAAATAGCAGCTGATGGGTTTATCTGTCAAAGTGATGTGTTGCAGATGGTTATGGCCTGCAGGGTCTAGCAGCATTTCCAAACAGCAACCCAATAAACTCCAGCCGCTGACCTTTTTGCTCTGGTCATTGGCCTTGTTCAGCCCAACTCGATTAGACCCCTGATGTCTCCTACAAACACGCAGAGCCTCTTGCAGTTGCTGCCCACAAGACATCCCCAGAGGAAGTGCCCTAAACTGCAGGCTGTATTTTTTGTCATGCAGCTGCTACGTTGCCTCTTTCTTTGTGTCGTTCTTTCACTTTCAAATGTGCTCATGTGCTAATAATAATGCTAATTACATTATAGTTTAATAAAATGCCAATATTTTAGAGATTTGGTATAGTTTAAGGACAGCTAGGGAAGTAAACATCTCCACACAGCCTCACTACTGAATGCTCTAGACTGACAACACACACAGACACACTCAGGTGAGTGTTTTCTTCTTTATGAGTTCAAAATCAGTTCAGATCAGTCAGAAACCATCTAGGTTCAACAATGCCTAAAAATTAATGGGTCTATAAGTCCTGAAGGTTTGGTTCACTGCACTTTCTGCCCAAGATGAAAACAAACCTACTCTGGAAAATTCTGCATCAGGTTTGATAACACAAAGGACGTTGGGATGAAAATCACTCGTTATCTGTTAAGCTGCTCGACGCTGAGCTGCTAATCTCTAGTTATGACTCATTTCTTTATGTCAGAGAGAATGATCGCGGTGCTAAATATTGATTAGACCATCGCTGAAGTGTGAAATCAACCAACAGCTGCTGAAGTTTACTGTGTAAACAAACCAGGGAGTGTTTTATTAAAACTGCTCCATCTCTGACCTCCCTGCACCAAATGGGCACCGCTCTATATCTCTTAGCAGTTAACAACAATGAACATCCAGCCAAACACATTGATAGTCTGATGCTCGTCTGCTAACTGTTAGAGAGGAGACAAACAACACAACTGTCAAGTGCCTCAGAGAACAGTGGAACATCAACAACCCACTTAGTGACATTACCACGGCACTAAAGCTCATCTCCAGCTTTTTGTCCCCTCACCTTGTTTCATCCATTCCATCTATTTGTTTTTATTTTGTTCAAACGAAAAACAAACAAAAAAACTGATGGCTAAATACGTTGCCACCGCTGCCGACCCACCGTCAGAGGATGGCGGATGTGCAGATTAATTTACTCTCAAACTAACAAAGCTTTCCATTTGTTACCATCCTCTGAAAGTTCGTCATGCTGTTTTTTTCCACTGGATCTTATTTTCAGTTAAGTTTGAGTTAGGTTTTTGTCTCCGTTATGACAAAAATGCATCAGAAAAGCTGCTTTACAATGCAGAGTGACTGCCACAGTGAGGGATGTGCAGCACAGCACGACCCAGCTCAGCACGACAAATGATCCTTTAACGACTGGCTGATTTTTTGGGGGGAAATAAATGTCTTATTGAAAAGGGATATGAGGTGGAACATTGGGGAAGTGAAGATGATTATGAGCAACAACTAATTCCTTCTTACTTTATGTGCTGATCGCCATTCACTGGCTGAATCTTTCTAATTTCAGTTACACCCACTCATTAGTGTAAACAGCGACACTAAAAGATACAGGAAAGAAACTAAAGGAAACCAAGTTTATAATTAGTTTGGATGTCGGCTAATAGAATCTAGTACACGAGTATAAATATACTTTACAATTATGGTTTGATGATTTTTAAATTGGAAAATCACAAGAAATTGTTTTTCCACATGGTTGTACAGCCATTAAATAGACATGAGGTGTTTAGTACTGTTCCAAGAACTAAAGAGTAACAGATTTATTTTGGAGGACTTTAACAATCGATATGATCTCCATCCATACTAATTCTTCTGTTTTGACAAGGCTATCTTTAAAGGTTCCACTTCCTCCTCTGCTCTCGTCATAATTGCTACAGCCACTAGACGGCGTTGTCACACGCTGTGGCACAGGAGCCATGGCGACAACCATGGCTCGTAAAAGGCTGCTTATACATATGACCTCTGGGGTCATTTTTTAACTGGGGGCAGCCTCCGTCTATGTTATTACACACAGATGAACA